GTGAACGATAGTTACAAAGTATGGTTTAAGTTCAGGAAGAATGGTAAATGTGACAACGGATTACAGACACTACAGTACCGATTTCTCATGGTGCAGCGAGAAGGACAAGTTTGAGAAGATACAGATGCTCAAATCCTTTTTGGCATCTACCTTCGTGATGTTTTCGTGTCCTTTCTTACCATGCATAACAAAGGCATTCTCTGAGTCTCCTCCAAAGGACATGTGGACGCACTTCCCGTCATTCAGAGGAAGGTGCCAGTCGAACGACCACTGCTCGGTAGCGTCTGCATCCATTTGGAAGGCACTGGCATTGGAACTCCAGGACGTCAAATCGTCCGCGAAAACTAGATATCGACTCGCAAGAACATCTGGGAGGTCGTCGACGTAGATCAGAAACAGCATTGGTCCCAGGACGGAGCCTTGAGGAACTCCAATGGAGACCGGCGCTGGAGAAGAATAGGTCGAGCCTATTCTCACTCGGAATGATCTGTCTGATGGAACCGCCTTGATCCAGCGAAGGATTTTACCTTGAATCCCTAAGACTCGAGTTTGTGGAGCAGCGGGGTGTGTGGAACCCTCTCAAATGCTTTTGAGAAGTCGAAAAATATGGTATCCGATATGAGTCCTTCGCCCTTGGCTTGTATTAAGCTGTCTATAAACACGAGTACGTTTATTACGCATGAACGGTGTTCACCCCCCCCCCCCGTAAATCAACAGTGAACAAGGGCAATCTTCCTTGTTTTATGAATACTCATGAGTAGCATGAGCTAAACCTGTTTATTATGACACCTTTTCGTTTCCTTGCCGATCGTTTTCCCCCTGTTTCGTTCCTTCTTAAGGTCTACCCATCCCTCAGTAACTGATGTCAATTATTTGTTGCCCGTCTGTCATGGCCCGCGAGTTCGTCTCAATTGCAGCTATATTTCAGCCCCCACTCCGATGGAAAAGCGGGCCAACCGGGTATCGAACCCATATTTTCCGTATGGCAGGTGAACGCGCTGCAAACTACACCGACCTGATATCCGAAGCCACTGATGGTTTTGTATTACACATGTACCGCACCTGCCAGACAGCATTTGCTGAGATTTGTTTTAAACAGACGAAACGGCGCAATCTGATCTGTCACGCGACACCAAGGGCTGCGTCAACGCCAGCCGAAACACAGTCCCTCACATCCCGAACGTACCGACTCCTGCGTCCTTATGGCCAACTCACACTGTCAGAGTGTCCCCATTTGTATGTTTGTACATCGTTTAGTACTTACTTGTTGTTACCCCTATAGAAATCCGTGCTGCGTCAGTGACTGCTTCCCGCTCCTGCTAACCGCGTCATTGTTGACTGTACGTTTTCTTAATTCATGATGCTTACTAATCCGTTTGTCTGTAGAACCAGTTCCTGTCAGTCTTCAATATATCATCTGCTGCCCCACGTCTGT